CTATAAAATAAAAAAAAAAGTAAAGTTAGTACAAAAACTAAACGTAAATAAACTTACGTTATTAGTACTATACTATTATAGTAAGTTATACGAGTATTTACTAATAAAAAAAAAAAAAAAAAGTTAAGTTTATAAGAATTGACTGACATTATGTTTATTGCAACAGGACTCAAAATTAGTGATAATTTGCTTGCCCAAGGCTAGTAAGTTAACTGTCAAGCTAACAGATTTAATGACTTGAGTATTGAAAAGCTCGGTAGACTAAATTTTCTAGTACTTATGAAATCATAGCTGTATGCACCATGGCCCAAATATCATCTTTATATCTTGGAGTTTTACTTTTTCCCTATATTAATAAATAGGAATTCTAAAAAAAAATTCAAGCAACTTCTTAAAGCTTAGATGTCACTCTTTTCAACTATTAAAATCCCCTGATTGGCTGTTTATCCTGTCTTCTATCAGGCCTTGGCTAAAACCTGTTGACTTGGTAAGGCAAATCTTTGGTAAAATACACAGTTCAGGTCCTGCAAAGTGGTTTTTGCCTTATCTTAGATAAATTATTAAAAATATTGTTTATCTTTTATTTATTTTATACACTTGAGTACAAAGGAGCAATGTACTGATTATATGTCGGAAACTCTATATATTTATACGGACTGATATTTGACCCTGTAATTAGCAAGTTACATTTAAGATTTTTGGTAAAAAGAGTTATACAAACTATGATGTAATTTAGCAGGTTAAGTTATTATACAAACAGACATTTGTCCAGTTGTTGTAGGATTACCTCTTAATAGGGAACCTTTTGAACAATAGAAAATGGCTTACAATGAGTCATTTTTTTACTTCTCATTATTGTGTATAAAAAAAATCCTTGAAGTATTCTGTTGATAAATGTATGTATTGAAGCTGGTCAAATACAGTGTTTCTCATGATAGATTTCATCTGGATTAATGGAACTTTGTTAAATCTTCAAAAAATTACAGCTGAAACAAAGTACCACATTGTGTATTATGTTACAAAACTTTAGATAATCTTTTCTTTAGAAATACACAAAGCTGTAAAAATTGTATTGGAGTTACTGGATACACTGGAGTTATATTACTCCAAAATTTCAGAATTTGGTACAGATTTTTATGCATTAACTTCTTTTCCAATACTATATTTCTTTTTTTTAAAGGTTGAAAGTTATTTGGTTAAAATACATCATATACATTAACAAGTTCCTAACTTTTCCATGAATGGCTAACCTAGTGGTTATTGTACCCAGACAGTGAATACCATTGCCCAAGACCTGGCCTGGTAGCTAGAGCACTCAACTTGCAATCTGCTGGTCGCGGGTTTGAATCTCGTCACTGAATGTGCTTGCTCTTTCAGCTATGGAGGAATAATATACTGTGATGGTCAATCCCACTATTCATTGGTAAAAAAGTAACCCCAGGAGTTGGTAGTGGGTAGTGTTGACTAACTGCCTTCCCTCTAGTCTGTCACTTCAAAATTAGGAACTTCTAGTGCAGATAGTGCTTGAGTAGCTTTGCATAAAATTCAACAAACAAACAGATGCTGTAGTTGTCGTTAAGTGTAATGATGAAATCTCACCAGACAAGAATAGCCCATGAGTTGGTGGTGAGTGCTGTTGACTAGCTTCTTTTCCACCTATTCTTTCAGTAGAAAATTATGGAAGGTGATGCAGACACAGCCCTTGTGTAGTTTTGTGCCAGAGTTCCAAACTAATAACTAATCCATGAATTCAATTGAGTTATACTATATTGCTGATAATACGTACTAGATACTCACCGTATTATACTCGTACATGTTGGCTATGAGACAAATATATGCTAAAGTTAAAAAATAGGTTAATACACAATACTGTGTAAACTAATTTACAATAAAGTTTAAATCCACACTAAAGGAACAATACCAAATTTAAATGGAAACTAGTGTGGATTTAAACTTTATTTCTTAGTAAACAATGTGCAGCGTATAAACAGTGTTTTCAACTTGTTTGTATAACAATAGTATAGCACATGTTCTGTTGAGATTCTGTTTGTTATACTTAGTTGTACAACGTTAAATATTTTAGGGCTACCTTCCTGCCAACAATGATAGGAGAGAATCAACATTAGAAAGAAAGAGAGAAGAGTATTTCAACTATATTAAACAATACTATAATACTCGACTCCAAGATGTGCACCAGGAGACATATAGGCAGGTAAGGAACAGAAAATTGTGACCCTTAACTCGTATTATAAAACTGAATAAAGTTAACAATGATTTTCTTAAATATCTTAATACCACACAAATAATTTTTATGCTCAGAAATTGTATGACCATGTTATTTATTTGAGAAAAAATGGTTTTAATGCTTACTGGTCTCTATTCTGTGTATCTGAATGTGAAGTGTATGAATCCTATCTTGTAACAAGAAATGTTTGTCTTCAATTTTATATTTTCATAAGTACTGAGATTTTTAATTCTGATTTGTATCTTAAAATATTTGGCATACATGTGAAGCTATTGTTGACTTACAATTTTATACCTTGGATAACAAGATAAGTATACAATTCTTTACATAGTCAACCAACAAAAAAATTATCTGAAGGAGATTTTCAAATTTAAAGATAACTCACCTCTTTACACAGAAATGCTATTTGCCTTGCATGCCACTAGCCTTAAGCTAACTCTTGCCAAAATTCACATGTTTAATGTGAACTGCGCTGGTGCAGGATGACATCTTCTTGAGGCAATAGTCCTCCACCAGTAGGAGGATGACACAGCCTCCATATGCAATACTCCCCCTATGCACTTAAGTTCATAAGTTCATTCTTTTTCCTTGGCATTACATTGAACATATGTGTTCAACTTTCTCATCTTTGTTTAATTTGATAAGATTTGCATTGTTAATGAAACTTTGGTTTTTGTTTTATTTGGCTTTTGTTTCAAAAGCTTTCATTTTTTTTCTGAAATCTCAAGTGACAGGGACTTCTACTTGTCCTGTTTGAGTGACAAAGTTACAGAGGCTCTATTTTTTACTATTGGTTTTGGAGGTTCTTTAACTGACTGGGATCTTAATGTGGTTTTTGCAAGCTCTCACATGTGCCCTGCTGGATCTATTGGCTTCATACTCTTTGTATTTCCTCCTCCTTCTTGCCTGTGGTTGCTGTCCTTCAGATGTCTATGCTATTGATGTTTCTTACACCCTATTCCACAACAATTATTTACTCCTCTACCCTGAATAGTATTTCCTTCCTAAGACTATTGCTGTTCAGGAAGGTAACTATACTTTCTCTCCTATCTCCCTTCCTTCTATTTCTCACCTCTATAATCGTTCAGACCCAGATCAGTTCCTATGTTCTGTTCAGGCTGTTTGATGCTACTTATCATGGAAGTCTCTCTTTAAGGGTCCCTGCCATCATCTGTTTGTACCCTGGGACCCCCTCTTCTTCAAGGGACCTCTCTCCTTCTACCCTTACTGGATGGGTCCTTCAATGATTTCAGTTGGTAGATTCTTCCATGAAATGGATGCATGCTATTTCACATTTCTTCACATCAGATCATCATCTGTCTCACACTCTTGCTTCCAATATTTGCTGACCCTTGGATGAGATCCTCCAGATGGTCATGTGGACAACTTCCCATATGTTTGTCATTTATTATCTTCTTCATCTAGCTGTCTCATCTCTTGCAGGATTTCAACTTCCCCAATCACCATTTGCCAATCATTCCACCATCTTTGAGATGAGTAAATATGCCTTTTATTCCTTTTATCTCCTTTTTGTTACTCAGGATCCCATCATGGGGCTGGTGTTGCTTCCCAGGGTATTCTTATTTCTCCTAGCACTTTGGTGGTGGACCATGGAAAATCCTCAGTGGTTGGGATTAGCACAACACATTGAGAAGTAGGGCAGCGGTTGCACTGTCAGTGTATTATGGGTCACCCCTCATAGCAGTTGTGCTCTCGTTCTGCAGCCAGAGTCTGTCCAGTAGAGTCGAGGTGAGCACACACTGTATTATTTTATCTTCTCTAATCATACTACACATAATGGTTTGCTGTTGACTTGTGTCGGTACTCAATTGATCATGATCACATTCCACTCGTTCCTGCAACACTGTAAGTTCTTTCCCCTTTCCATCCCTTTTGTCTTAGGTGAAAAGTATAAGTATACCCTGGTCGAGAGAAGATATGATCTCCCATTGGTGTGCCCCTGTGGAACCCCTACCATTGGGTGTCACACTCCATGGGCTTTCCATTTGGGTGCTTTCTGAATGGAGCTCATCTAAGTTTAAGATTTGCACCAGCCCCTCCACCACTTCAATGTGGAATTCTAGCATTTCTGTGTGTTATCATCTCAGAAGTTAACATTTTCCTAATCTTAAAATGTATTTCTGATACATTCTAACCTCCACACACATTTCCATCTGTCCTCCCCACTTTCGGTGTACCTTTTTTTCTTGCTTCTTCTAAGAATGAAGTTATCATAAGGGGAGTTACTGCACATGGAGGTTGTGTCACCTTCCTTTTGGTAGAGGGCTACTGTCACATGATGATGTGATTAAGCACCAACATAGTTCCTGTTTAACATGTGAATTTAGGTGGAAGTTAGTTTAAAGCTATTGGTAAACAAATCTCGTAGGCAGACATGTGAGGTAAATCATATTTCTGTGTGTAGAGGTGAGTACCTTATGGAAATAGACTTTTTTGAGGACTTAATGTGATTTAATCTGAAAACTAAACTGCTATGTTTTAAGTCTTAAACCAAGTGGTGTGTTTGTATGTTTATGACATAACGTTCTTGTTCTAATATCTTACATCCAAAACTTTCATTTCCTTCTTATATATTTATTATTTAGAATAATCAAAGAAGTGTTTGAAAGACCATCTTACGAAAATTCTTAAAAACTGATTAAAATAGATTTGCAAATTCTAAGCATAATTATGAATAAGTAAAATATTGATTGTGTTTTTTACTCAGATTCACATTGACATTCCAAGGATGAGTCCGCTTGTGCCTCTCTTTCAACAACAACTAGTACAGGAGGTTTGTTTGTTTTTATTTTTCTACTAGTGAAAACTTATGCAGTTCATTTTTTTTTTTGTAATTGGTATTTACGAGGTTTGTCTTGTGTTATCAAATAGAAATATTATATGTGCATTTCAAATTTATAAAACATAGTAAATTTGATGAAATATATGTACAAGTTTATAAAACAGTGTATCTTCATTACATTTTATGAATCTAAAAAACATTGACTCTTCACCAGGTTAGAAATTTTTTAAATATAAATTTAGTTTTAAGTATTAAAAATGGCCTGGCATGGTCAGGTGGTTAGGGCACTTGACTCACAATCTGAAAGTTGTGGGTTTGAATCCCCATTCCACCAAACATGTTCACCCTTTCAGCTGTTGGGGCATTATATTGTGATGGAAAATCCCACTATTCATTATAAAAGAGTAGCCCAAGAGTTGGTGGTGGGTGGTAATTACTAGGTGCCTTCCCTCTAGTCTTTCACTGCTAAGTTAGGGATGGCTAGCACAGATAGCCCTCGCCTAGCTTTGTGTGAAATCCAAAACAAACAAACAAAAGTATTGTAATATTTTAGATTAACAAAAGTTTGCCACAGGTCCAGCCCAGCTGATAAGTTCTGGTATTGAGTGAATGGTCTTCTAGAGATTGTTCTGTGAGAGACCAAGGATAGATATACTATTTTGACTCACTCTTGATTTAAAATCCATAATGCAATGACTAAGAGAATTGTGAGAAATACACATTCAGTTTTACATGATGTTTCCGTATGTTTTATAGGCCAAAAAAAAGTTTAGTATAGTGTCAATATAGGCACTTTGCCTAAAAAAGTCCTTAAATAGAAATATTAACTCATCTTTATTTAAACAAAATAGCAGAATACTTCACATAATTAATCACAATTGAATAACTCTCCAAACTACGAAAATTGTTTTTCATGTTTACTTATAGTAAGTTTTGTTTTGCTTCATATACTCAACAACAATTAAAATATGTTTTTGATCATTCTTTGTCCATTCAATAAAAATTCATAGTTGATTGATTGTAAATGCACTTGTATTATCTGTTAAGTGTTGTCTTTATGCCAGAAAAAAAAAGCTTTTAGTTTTAAAGATGTTAAAAAAAAGCTTTGCTTAAAGTTTAAAAACATGATTCTTGGACTTATTTTTGCAGGGGAGGGAGAAGGAGTCTGTTTCAATATGTAACATGTTTGAAACGTACATACATGGTTTTCTTCATTTGTTACATAAGCTGTAAGTTAGAGATGCAAAATCATGGATAATGTTATGACCGTGACACTTTTATTGATAATGTTATGACTGTGACACTTTTATTGATAATGTTATGGCTGTGACATTTTTATTGATAATCTTATGACTTTGCTACTTTTATGGATAATCGTATGACTGTGGTACTTTTATGGATAATGTTATGACTGTGCCACTTTTATTGATAATCTTATGGCTGTGCTACTTTTATGGATAATGTTATGACTGTGCCACTTTTCACCAAAGCTTCACTAGAAGAAAGTTACGAGTTTCTATAAAGTACTTTACCAAGTTATCCAAAGTTTTAACATTTTTCAAGATGCACTTAAAATTAGTCAATGCTCGACCTGAAGTTGACCCAGATATTTTGAGGTCAACTCTAGATGAATCATTGACTAGTGTTATATGCTTTTCTCTGTTCCATTTTAGCTGTTTACAAACCTTTTTATTTGAGAATATTTTTATGTCATTCAAAGTACACTGTATATAGATAAGTGCCTAGTTCATCTTAACCAAATGATGCTAGATACAAGTAACACCTAAATGTTTGGAAGTTTTAGAACAGTTAAGTAAACCTAATACGAAATGTTGGTGTTTTAACCATTAAAAGTGCAAAGTTCATCATCAACACAGTGTTAATGGAGAGTGTTAGTAGTATCTGAAAGAAATTTCCTTTGCTAGGCCAACTTTAGTCACTTTTTTTACTTTTTTTGAGTAAACATGTGTCATGTTTATCATTGAGAAGATAGATATGAGAGAAATCATGTTAAAAAGATATATATTTTATAACTGAACTAAACTTGTACTTGAAAGTAACTAGTGGTTTTGTTTTGTGTGTAAATTATTCTTTGTCTTGTTTTACAGATATTTGAAAGAATTCTTTATATTTGGGCAATTCGTCATCCAGCCAGTGGCTATGTTCAGGGAATGAATGATCTTGTCACTCCCTTTTTTGTTGTTTTTCTTCAGGAATTAGTGCCATCTGGTGAGCAGCTGAATTTGTTTTTGATTTATGAATACATTTGTTACTTGATAGAATTTATGTCCATTATTTTTGTATTTAGCTAAACTCCATCATTCCAATCATAATTTATGTTCAGTGTATTTTTAGTTTCATGTCGTCCCCTATTACGTGTTCATCCTCCAGCGTACATACCAACATGTTATCCCATTAGTTAAGCATTAATAAAGATGTTTTGTTTTCAATATACGCTTTGATTCTCATGTTATCATTTCACTACATTAGACACCTAGTTTATCCAAAGTTGCTTGTTGAACCTCAGATCTCCTATTATTCTGCAAGATTGCAACTGACTTCATTTCATCTGAAAAATCTTACAACAAACATTTCTGGACATGTAGATACTTTTTCAGAGTACATTTAGGGCAAGAGATAAGTGGTCTTTTTTTTTTCAATATGTGAAAGATTGACATGACTTATAATCAAAATCTCACATTTTATCTTGAAAACCCTAAGACCTTTAAACTTAAAGAAATATGCATATATGATATGCTTTTGATTTAAAATAAGTTCCAGCAGTTTCACTTTAATATGGAACAACTTTGAGCACAAGCTAACTCCACAACTTATTTCTGAAAAGTTTACTTCATGAAATGTAATTTTATCATTATTAGCTGGTAAAATGAGTTGTTAAAACAGTATTTCAGCTGCTTTGGCATCATAGGAGTCTAACAGTTTTTGTCACCATCGTTAGTCCCTTGACTTCTGGCATAGGTGGCACTACTCTAGATGTCTCAAAAGCTATCTTTTTCTCTCTCGAACTGTCTCTTCTTTTGCAATGCTTGAACATTCTTGTTTGTTAGACTTGTACTTATATTTTTTCATGTTGTCCTGGCCTCTGTTTTTTGCATGATGATCATAGCCAAACTGTTGGAACGTGTGACATAACCAACCATTTGAGATTTCTTCTTTTTTTAATAACAAAAAATAGGTTCATGATCTCCGATGGTCACTGTTGTTTTGTGAATTATGGACTTGTTGGTCCTGTGAGCAGGGTATTAAATGCACAGCAACTTTCTATAGCATCTCATGTCAAAGTACTGCAGTCTTTCTTTTCTCTGTTTCATTTGTCAAAATTATGACTTGTATCCATGTCATATCGCTGAATTTTCTATAAAATAAGTTTAGACATATAGTTTCATAACTAATATTTTATACTTTTTAAGAAATCTTTTAAGCATGAAATACCCATTTCACTTCAAATGTAACCAGTAATTGTTGATTTACAGATCAACTATCTGATTATTTAATGATCTTTGTATACTTTGTGCAAGGAAAATAGTATTTGTTTTTGTTCTTGCACAAGTTAAGTTTATAGGAATAGTATTTTTTCTTCCTAAGGTAAACTACACCTCTAAAATAACCTAATCATTATGAATTCTGTAGAAATTGCAGAAACTTCTTAATTTTATTAACAATCTAAAATCACTTCTTTTGGCTTAATCTTTTATTAATATTCAACAAATGAGCTTAAATGAAACTGAAAACTTGTAATTTGAATACAAAAATCTATAAAACTAAAAAAAAAAAGTGTGTCAAAAATAATATTTTGTTTCTGAACCCTTTTGGCATTTTAATGGACAGTGCCCTTAGGGAGTTTTGACTATACTATCGATTACACCAAATTTACTTATTTGAGGATTGCAGTGGCAAGTGGAGCTCACAGGTTGCTAACTTGCGGAGATTTACAGTTAGACTAAAGAAACTGATCCTGAGACTGATATTCCAAACAATACATCAAATTTATTTAAGTTTTTTAACATAAAATATACTTCTTTAATCATTTATTAACTCTTCATAAAATTCATTTCATACATTTGGGTTAACAACACTAATACTTATAACTCACACATAATGCCAAGTTTCTTAGTTTTTATATGCTTCTTTAGAGTCTATCCAATTCATATTAATTGATTAAGAGAGAAATAGTTTCATTACTTACAACATAGTTGATCTGGTAACTCTTCGCAGTTGAGAAACCTTCATAGCTTCTGGATTATCAGTGTCTTTAGGAAGAATATCAATTCTTCCTGGACAGAACTGATTCTTAGCTCCAGACATGAGTTTTTAAACCATATTTTCTTTGTATTCTTTCGACCTTCCAAATAGTATTTTAAAATGCTAAACATAATGAAGCTATTGTAAAATACCCTCAAAAATATCTAATTGCTTCAGCACGGATGGCAACTAAAATCGACATGTCAACAAAGCGTGGTTGGCTACATTTGTCAACATCATGAATCCTTGTGTTTTTGGCTAAAATATACTGTGTCATTGGTTTTGCAATACCACATAGCCCTCTAGTGAATGAAAATAAATGTTTGGGGGAATTCCTTATGTGGTTTTATTTTAAAAATAATGCCATTTATCGCCAGTCAACGTGAAAATTCTGACAGCAAAAAAAGTTTTAAAATCTGTAATATCTTGGGCATTTAAAAATGCCATCCACATCAAATGCAAGTATTTAGAACTAATGAATATTATAATGAACTACAGTTATTATGTGTACCTACCAAGCCCTGATACCGATAGCAGTGATGCATCTGTTAGTGATTACTAGTTAGATTTTCTCAGAAACCAGGGACCTCCACGTCTGTGTACCCAGGGTCATGCACAAGGAAGAGGACAGTGAGGTAGAGTCCAGCCATCTGTTCCTTCAACAATGCAGGAGTGTGCTCAAAAACTTCCCAGCACCGTAGACAGGGGAAAAGGAAGAGCTGGTCAGCCAGTACTACATCCTTTGTAATGATATATTGTGTTGTTTTTCTGTAACTACTTTTCAAATATGTTAGGTAGTGTTTTTTGATTATTGTGGAAAATATATTCAGTTCTATGATATCAGTATTAAATTTTCATTCAGTGCCAAAAGGGTTAAAGAATTATAGATAACACATCAACAGTATGAAAGAAATTCTAAGATCACTGTAATGCATTAAGAATGAATTTGTATAACAAAGTCCTTAAAAATACAAAATATGAAGAAATTTTGTCCAGTGTCTCAATTCTTCATGCCTTAGGTTCAGAAGTGGAGACGTATGATGTTACACTCTTACCTAAAGGATGTCTTGATATCATTGAGGCTGACAGCTATTGGTGTCTTACAAAGCTATTGGATGGAATCCAGGAGAACTATACATTTGCCCAACCAGGCATTCAGAAGAAAGTAAACACACTCAAGGATCTCATGAAACGTATTGATGGTTAGTAAATTAACAATTTACAGTTAACATGTAAAATAAATGAGTGAATGGAAAGGAAATTATGGTCAGTACTTTAAGTCTGTTACCAGCATCTAAAGTAAAAAAAAATTAATACTTTTATCCATTGCTCAACGCTTTTTCAAAAAGTACCATAAACTGCTGCTTCTGTTAACATCAAATAAATTAATTTATAAAACAATATCACTTTATTAAAATTCATCATTTATTGTAAAACAGTATGGAATGAATACATTTATCTCCAGATTTTGTTTATAAAACTCAAATCTGGATGAAATTGTAAGAAATGAATAATGTGACTGAGAGATCTCTCCTTTAATCGAGACTCTTGTAGTGTTTTTCTTTCTTTTTTGAAATAGTTGTGTTTAAAATGATACTAAGCAGTTGAATTTTAAACATTTGTTTCCAGTATTCGTTAAAACATTAGGTTTTGGTTTTCTTCAAATTAGTGGAAGACAGTTCCATTTTAATGGATCATTTGACTTTGCTTAAACCTTAAGTTACTTCTGTAGTAATGTAGCTTTCTAAATGAATGATTTTTGCTATTACCAGAATTAAATAATGTTTTAACTAATGTTAGATTCAGAAGACATGTGGTATTAATCAAAAGTTATTGGGCTACACTTAAAGTATTTACTAATATTAACTGAAAAAATACGAACCACTTTAAACTTTTTTAAAGCTTGCAAGGGCCATATGTAACATGGTTGACGGCATCCCTGCACTGTGAATCCAAAGGTTCTTTGCTGTAAAAGTGTGCCTCAAACTTTGGGTCATGGGTGCACTGTAAGAGTGGTTGTCAAATCCCTCTATTTGATCATATAGAAGCACCCCACTCCCTGTTGGTGGTGCTGTTTAGCTACCTTAGTCTGCCATTTAAAAATCAGAGCATATAACTTTTTGCATATAACTCTTTGTTTAGCTTTGCATGAAAGTTGTAAGTGAACAAACCGAAAATATAGCTTGTGAGCATAAAAATAAACTATTTGTAAATGTTTTGACAAGTTCCATTTGATGTCTACTTTGTGTTTTTGTTCATATTAAAATTTGTTCATGATAAATAACCTTTTGAAGAAGCATTCAGAAGGTTCTGGAAAGAATTTTAGATTTTGGAACTTCTAGAAGGATTTGGGGTCATGGAAAAGGAGAGGAAAAAAAAACAAAGAAGGGAGAAATGGAAAAATAGGGAAAAGGAAACTATTAGGTTGTCAAAAAATTTATTTAGCAT